TATATATATATATATATATATATATATTGAAAACCCATCTTTATAACATTTTATTTTTTTATTAAAAGATATTATTATTTATTTTTTAAAAATTACTTTAAGATTTGATTTAAATCTTATAACATGTGCCGGTTTTGAGTGCCTTGTGAGAGTTGCTTTTATTTGAGTTCTCTTAATATCTTTATTATTTTGACCTTTATATTTTCTTTTCATTTTATTCTTTGTCTTAATGAGATGATAAAAAAATAAGTCCTATCTTTCTTAATTAATAGAGAGCAAAATGAAATTCTAGTAATATTATAGATTAAGATAATAAAAAAAATGTGGTCAAAACAAGAAAACAACTTAGAAAGAGCATAATGAAAATAATAGTATACTGTAGAAATCAAAATGTTTTTTAAACCTTCAAATAAAAATTAAAAGTTTCAGTTACTATCAAAGTTACTCATGGAATATGAATAATATTTTAGAAAGTCATTTTCATATTATAACATTATCCATATCTTACAAGATAATATTAAAGAAATATATCATTTATAAATAAAAATTACTTAATGAATATTTTTATATAAAAAAATAAGAAATGGCGTTTTTTTATAACTTCTTTCTTAATAAGGGTAGGAAGTAGTGTTATATAAATTTGTATTCTATTTTTATTTGTTCAAAATTAATTTAAAAGGTGTCCTTTTATTGTTATTTATATAAAATAAAATAAATTACATAAGATTAAAATAAATAAATAATAAAAGTCATTGGATCCTAAGTAATCTTTCATAATTCAATGGAGACACTAGTATTGATACAATCCAGCAAGTTATGAGTTTTTTGAGCATGAAGTGATTTGAATAGGTAAGACAATCTAAATAATACATTACTATATACAAGTACTTATAAGAATAAATGTAATAACATAAGCAATATATTCAATGAAATCTTTATCATTAGTAACGAAAATTAGCCTACTAGAACATTCAAAATTAAATGAGACAACGCGTCATAGACATATACATATATAACATGAATATATGAGTAAGACACCTATATTAATATAGTCAATATATATATATATATATATATATATATATATATGTATACAATAGTTCCAAAACCTAGTGTCGATCAAGCACGTATACAAGCTACACGCAGTAGCACTGCCATCAACAAAAGATTATGCCATTTGCCTACAACGACTCCTCCAATCTAGCCTTGATCTGCTTTCATGTCACGTATGATCATCGTAGTCTAAACTACCATAGAAAACTAGAAGGGTAAGCTAGAGTTCGAAAACATGTACATATAGAAAACAATCATATAATATACAACATCACATCATAACCATACATAAAAGCTACAACACTCCAAGAAAACATGTATCTCACCCAAATTATGTCACACAAGACATCAACAATGCATATGAACACACCTAAACACCCATCATATGCAACCATATCGACCAATGCGTTGTTATGCATTTACCTACAAAGATTTCCTAACAATATGAGCAGTTTAAGTGATTTCCATCCCACCGAACCAACCTAATCGTTCTCACATCCAAAGTGTTGGCTCGATCACAACAAAATGTGATATCAATCCCTCATTTGGTTTCTTGGGTCTCATCACTTACATTAGGAAAAGTTTGGTTCCACCGTTTGGAGTGGTACAGTTGGGTATACGCGTATCATGACCTTGACATGCATTACCAAGTCACATGGAGTTAGACCACTAATTATCCTCAAGGAATTACACAAATTTTTTAGGTACTTGGTGAAGGGTTATAGTCCTCAACCTCCTACCTTACTCAACCATTAACTAAAGACCTAGAAGAGACTCAATACACCCCAAAATCCACTCCAAGAGACACACATACTCAAAGAGGGTTTTCCAACAGTGGCCTACCCAAGCACCACTCCAAGATACCTATGTTCGATCTTCAGTTTTCAAAATAATTTATTATCCTCAAGTCCTAAGTTAATTAACATGCTTTAATGCCATATCACATTTTCAGCATCTACATCGCATTATACATCTACTATATTGTTGAGATTTCCGTTGAAACACTTTTGTTAATATTTGTAAATTCGTTTAATTCTATCAACGGTCTCAAACACGGCAAGTATACCGGCCGTTCAAGTAGTAAAAATATCGTATCCACAGGGATTAGAAGGTAATATAAGCATTTATTGACTATTCGTGACTAAAGAATAATTCCAATTTCATAGTTTGTGCAGTGAATTCAAAGTTGTGACTATTGGAATGAAAGCTGTAAATAAATATTGTTTTGTGAGTGGAAAAGGTAAGGAATGGTATTGTGGTATTGTGAGGTTGTGGGGGTCAGATTTCACCAAACGTAACACTAATGTATCCTTAATCTCTTGTTGAATTCATTGCTTAGTCAACCCATAAGTTTACTCAAACCTAATCCCTTAGAGAAAGAGCCTAGGTGCGGATATTGAATATCAATCCCTTGAGTACCCAATATCTACACCCGCATTACGGGCTAGGGTTTAAGACTACTAATGGGTCAAGCTCTATCCCTAGATACAATCACCACTAGGCATATGTTTCAGAACTAGTTTCAAAGGTTATTTTCCAATACCCATGGAACCTTAAATCATGCAAAGGGTGATCAATCCAAAGCAAGCATTAAGAATAGAAACAAACACAACAAAGAATAAAACAACATGTATATATATCATTAAAACCGTAAAGATTACAATAGAGTACGTTGGTTACATCTAACCCCACAAAATGGGTGAAACCACTCAACAAAGAGGGCAAATACAAAATAGAGATGGAAGAGGGGGTGAAGAACCGAAGGAAAGATCCGCACACGGACGATCCCAAGCCCTGGGAATCCCTTCCGCAGCTCCTGGAGGCGCCCAATGTGAGAATGGAGAGAAAGATCCCCGAAAATGGCTTCAAATACGAGCCTGGGAGATCAGATTAGGGTTCCGCGCCCGGCGCACAATTCTTCGCGCCCGGCGCAAGTTCTTCCAGAGAAGTCAAGCACTCTCTGTCTCAACACAAGCCCGGCGCAATTCCTTTTGCGCCCGGCTTAATTCCTTTTGCGCCCGGCTTAATTCCTTTTGCGCCCGGCGCAATATAACTGGCAGAGATGAAATACTCTGTTTTTGTCACGCCCAGCGCAGGTTATATTGAGCCCGGCGCAGAACCTCTTCTCTGCTCCTTAGCTTCTTAGGTTTCCAATCCTAAGAGTCTTCAATCCTCAAGTCACTAGCTCAATACCTGCACAAAAAATAAGGTGTATTAAGGTATTGTTAGCTGAATTTGGGTTAGTTATATCTGCACACAAAATGAACCAAAAAGAGAACAATTATATTGCAATGGTTCAAAGGATGAGTGGAATTTGTTCAATAAGTCTCATCCAAAAAGAGGTAAACATTTTCAGCATCTACATCGCATTATACATCTACTATATACACCACATCCAATCAATTCATATAAAGATCAACAACAACATCGTTCACACATGGCATATCCATGCTCTATGAAATCATACATCATACAACCTACATATATTCAACATCTTCCAACACCATACAAACATCTACACTTGTCATATCCAATCAACATATGTAGAATAATCATCATACATCATATAATCATCTATATATGTTATATCCAATCAACATATATAGAACAATCCTCATACATCAAAAAAATTCACCTAAACACCAACATATATCATCTAGGCATCTTGGGCTTGGTGCAACTTACCTCGCACCTGGTGCCATCAAGGTAGGGAGTTTTCTGCCTTGTTCACACCCAACACTATCTAAATCAAGCTCAGCGTAATCAAGATGGAAATCCCCTAAGACCTCGCATCTGGCATGGAAAAACCTATGCTTGGCCTCATATCAAATAGAGAGTTTTTGCCTACT